TTTATCCTCCAGGTGCTTACAAATTGATTGTTTAATAATGTGTTCCAGTATCTTTCCAGATGTTGAAGTTAGGCTGATGGGTCTATAATTTGCCAGGTCCTCCTTCCCCTTTTGAAAGATATGTTCTATGTTTGCCCACCTCCAGTGTTCTGGGACCTCCTCCAGGAGTTCTCAAAGATAATTGCTAACTGCTCAGAGATTGCTTCAGCTAGGTTCTTAAGTACTCTTGCCAACTTTAATACATCTAACTTTTAAAATATTCTTTAACCTGTTCTTTTTGGCTTGCGCTCCTTTCCCTGGTTGTTAATATTAATTGTGTCCAGTATCTGGTCATCATTAACCTTTTTAGTGAAGACTGAAGCAAAATAGGCATTAAACACCTCAGCCTTCTTGGTATCTTCGGTTATTGGTTCTCCTTCCCCGTTAAGTAGAGGACCTACATGTTCCTTTGTCTTTCTCTTGCTCCTAATATATTTAAAGAACCTCTTCTTATTGCCTTGGATGTCCCTTGCTAAGTGTAACTCATTTTGTCCCTTAGCCTTTCTGATTTTGCCCCTACATGCTTGTGGTGTTCTTGTGTAGTCCCCCTTAGCAATTCATCCATGTTTTCATTTTTCGTAGGTTTCCCTTTTGATTTTCAGGTCATTAACGAGTTCCTGATTGAGCCAAATTGGCCTCCTAGTATTCTTCCTCTCCTTTTCATCAGAATAGTTTGCAGTTGTGCCATTAATGTTGTCTCCTTGAGGAGCTGCCAGCTCTCCTGGACTCCTTTTCCCCTGGTTATTGTTAATAACAGCGCGTTATAGGTCTGTTCTCCTTACTAAGTCATTGTTCTTGAGCGTCTCTAACAGACTTCATGGGGTTTTGCAACAATTTTATTGATCAAAGGCTGTTGCCAGGGCCAGCTTTAAGCCGATTCGGCCGATTTCCCGGAATGGGGCCCCACGCCTAAGAGGGCCCCGCAACGTCCAGGGCTGCCGGCGGAGCGGGAAAAAAAAAAAGCCCCATCCTGCTTCTCCCCCCTCCCTCCAGCGCTTGCGCCGCCATACAGCTGATCAGCGCAAACCTGGGAGGGAAAGGGGAGGAGGAGGAATGCGGCGTGCTTGGGGAAGACGCGGGGCCAGGGCAGGGATTTGGGGAGGGATCCAATGGGGCAGTGAGGGGGCGGGGCCAGGGCGGGGATTTGGGGAGGGATCCAATGGGGCAGTGAGGGGGCGGGGCCAGGGCAGGGCCAGGGCAGAGTTGGGGCGGGGGGGGGGGCACGAGATAATTCGCGTCCCGATGTGGAGCCCCGCACATGCTAAAGCCAGAACTGGCTGTTGCTGGCCATTATGGTTCATTTTGGGTTAGGGCCAGCAGCTTGTTTGGATCAAGAGGAGAACAAACAGGATGGGGATAAATTAAATTAGCCCCAGGAAACAACTCACCTAATATCTACTCATTCCAGATCCGCAGCCGCCTGCTATCCCCTCACAGCAGTCAGTTCCCACCACTTCCCACAGCTCTGCCGATGCCCCTCTATCCTGACCCACAGCCCCCTTCTACACTAGCCCTGGGCTCCCATTCCCCACAGATCTTCTGGTGTCCCACCCTGCATCACTCCCCCACCGCTGTTGCTACCCCAGATATCTATGATAAATCACTTGCCGTGATATTAGGCTTGGAAGGATTAGAACATATCGGGAAATGTCGCCAATCATCCATTTCACCACACACGCACAAGCTCATTTAAAAAATATTTCTATCGGTCATAACTGAAATTTGCAGATGGGCAAAGGAAGGAACACGCTGCTTGGAGCTGTGTTGGAGTTAAGCTTAATGCTATTGACTTTGTGTCTTCTGAGATGTGAGGTTGACAATTTACGTTTTAACGGATTATAAAATGTTAACTTTTTGAATCTCACCTGCCATTAAAGAAGGGTCTGACCTCTCCCCACTAATTTCACACAACTATGAAAACTGACGCAACACTAACGGACCCCAGTTGTCGGTGGGCGGGATCGAATCTGGGAACTCTGGAACTTAGTCCATGAACCTCTACTGCATGAGCTAAAAGCCACATGGCTCTTAGCTAACTCATTAATCTCTAAGAGGTCTCGGTGCCACTAGAGGGGCCAGAGCACCACACCCAGGAGGTGTGTGGGTTACACTGAACATGACAAAAATTGAAGAAAAAGCTTAAAAAGGGACATTGCTATCATCTGCCAAAATTATAAAGAAATAACTAGTGAGTTCTGTCAAGCCTAACTAATATGCGCTCGGCGTTCTGCTGTAACTCTCCCAACGTAGGTCAATTGTGATCAACTTGTGACCAACGCAGGCAACTAGAAATAACAAAACCTGTATTGGCAAGTGAGTATGAGAAGCAACCCGGGGAACTTAGGGCAATTTCAAGGCCACCCCCCCAGGAGGAACAAACATGCCCAGAGGTGTCAATAATGATCTTGGCCCAACCACATGTTCTGAGAGCCAGGATCTCCCCTGGAGCGGTTCTCACAAGCGCAGCTGGTTCCGGCAAGGGCAGGATGTCTAAATGAGACCTCAGAAAGTCAGCAGATGCTTCAGGGAGCAGGGTAGGGGGGATCACTCCTGACAGTCAGTGCTGATCCAATGAGGAACAAGGGGCCGCTCTGATGCAGGGAGCAGGGTGGGAAGTTCAGTAGGGGGTGCTCTTCCCTGGCTGTGAGTGTTGGCTCCAATGCCCCAGTGTGGCGCTAGAGGGTGCCGTGATGTGGGAAGGGAGGTGGGAGTACAATAGGGGGATCTCCGTCTCAATCAGGGCTGACCCCAATACCCCAGCACGGCGCTGTGCTGCAGTGAGTGCCGGCTTGCATATGAGAAATAGCCAAATCACTGGCTCTGCTCTGAAATCCCTTAGCACTTTCTCCCCTAGTTGGGGTTTGAACCCTGGTTTCCTGGCTGAATATCTCCTTTAGATGTTCCATTCATTTCCTGGTACCCTGCTGCCCCACCCCAAAGGTGGCTGCCTCTCAGTGCGGGGCAAATGAATCGGAACGGCCAGTATATGGTTGTTATCGGCTGCCCCACGCCAGATGTTCAACGACTGCAGCCCTTCTGTTCCCAGACATCTCAGGCTATTTACCTAACTGATGTCTGTTTCCAAAGCCCTTGGCTCCTACCCAACAGTCCCACCTGGGTGGTCCAGATCCCCCTCCACCTGTGTGTGCAGAGCCCAGTGAGGTCACAGATTTGAGGATAAATAAGCCCCCGGTGGCTGCTCCCTGGCTGTTATTCTCAGCATCTGAGGCATCCACCTCGACTCCCGCAACAACTGGTCCCTGTTATGAGGCACAGCGAGACCCACAAAGCTGCAAGTGTGCCAAGGCGAAGGGCAGGTGAGTCTGGGCTACCCGAGGCCCCACTGGCTCCGAGACTTGGACAGAGGGGGGAAGGGAGAGAAGGAAGTGGAATAACAATTAGAATTGGAATCACTCTTGGTAATTACCCCCTTAATACCCTCTCCACAGATCCCATTCTCAGAGCTGGGCATAGAATCCAGGAGTCCTGTTCCCTGTCCCCTGCTCTAACCCACTAGACCCCACTCCCCTTCCAGAGTTGGGGATCAAACCCAAGAGTCCTGGTCCCCGGCCCCCCTGCTCTAACCAACTAGATCCCTCTCCTGTCCCAGAGCCAGGGACAGCAAGGGAAGGAGCATTTGATGTGCCTTCTCTGCCTTTGGTTGTTTCCTCCTGGCTATGCTGTGGATTCTCACTACTGAGCTCATTGCCTGCCTCTTCCCGGCACCCAACAGGCCCAAACCGACAGGGATCCCCGAGAGAGTATCTGCCCAAGGAGATCCCGGGGTCACAGCTGCTGGGCTCAGAGATACAATTCTGGCAGATGCTGTGAAAGGCAACCTCAAGCACTAGGACACCTGGGTTCTATTCCCAGCTCTGGGAGGGGAGTGGGGTCTGGTGGTTAGAGTGGTGGGTACTGGGAGTCAGGACTCCTGGGCTCTATCCCTGGCTCTTGGAGGAGCGTGGGATCTAGTGGGTTAGAACAAAGGGAGTCAGGACATTGGGCTTCCCTTTAGCTCTAGGAGGGGAGTGGGTGGTTAGAGCAGTGGGGGCTGGGAGACAGGATTTCCAGGTTAGAGCGGGGTGGGAGCTGGCTTCTATCCCCAGTTGTGGGAAGGGATGTTATGGTCACCCCACAACCTCTTCCACTCCGTTCCCCAAGAACTCAGTTCCACTCCAGCCTGGTCGCTCTGGTCCCTGTATTTGGCACACAGCAAAGCTACGCTCAGTTGATCACACTGAAGCGTAGAGGGCAGGTGGAGGGCGTACCCCACACCCACAGTTACACAGCAAACCTCTTCCTTTGTAGATATTTACCCATGTTACCCATCATTCACTACACATTGCATCACGTGTTTTGGGAGTGGCTTGGTCACTTTGCAGGAACCAATCCCTGTGCAGCATGCACTGTCCAGGCACTGTCATTGGACGACTTACTCTTTACCTCATCTTACATTCCAGGCTTCTCTTGCCCATTTTTATCATGTCCATTGTAGATGGTTCCCTGGAGGTTCCCCCTTATTTTAGCTCAGACAGACATTCTGCTTCCAGCCTGCTGATTTATTTACCTCCCTAATCCTGTCTCCCAAGAGATGAGGCTTCACCCATGTCCAATTATTCATGACAAGCCAGGCCTACAGGGGAGTGGCGTCTAGCAGTTAGAGCAAGGGGCTGGGAGGCAGGACTCCTGGGTTTTATCCCCAGCTCTGGGAGGGGAGTGAGGCCTAGTGGGTTAGAGCAGGAGGCCTGGGAGTCAGGGCTGACACAGATCTGGGACTGAGAGGACAGGGGGTGACTGACCCGATGCTGTATTTTCTAAAGGGGATCAAGGCTGATAGAGGGAGCTCCCACCTGCTGTCTGGATTTAGGTGGCTGGGACTGAATGGGAGCCAGCGCCCCCTAGAGGGGAAAGACCCCATATCCCGTTCCCTGTAACTCTCTCTGAGGGGGTTTCCCTTCCAGCTGCCGTGATGCTGGGACTCCTCCCCGCGCTCCCCTGCCTGCTCCTCCTTTCCCTGCCGGGCTTCAGCTCTGGCTCTGATGATGACGGGACTGAGGTGCTCACCACCAGTGGCCCCATCTGGGGCAAGCGTCTCCCAGCCGGCTCCAGCACAGTGACGGCCTTCCTGGGCATCCCCTACGCCGAGCCCCCCGTGGGGGCCTTGCGCTTCCAGAAACCGCTTCCCCACCAGCCCTGGAGCCACGTCCTGGAGACCACCAGCTTCGGCAACACCTGCCACCAGCCTCCACTTCCTAGTTACCCTGATGCCTATGTAACCCTTCTGCCCATCTAAGTTGACAGCAACAAGGGCCGGGTTCTGTATCTAGGGGTTCCGTTTCAATAACGCAATGCAAAACCGGCTCGAACCCCCACCCAGTGACCTGGGACAATTACATACCACCCCCTGGGTGCCTCTAAGAGGCAATACTTCCCCTCTCGCAAGCACGGAGTCTGAGTGTAGCAGAAAATGTTTAATAACATGAGGTAAACGACATCAGCATTAAATTGGAAAAACACCACAAACAGGATTCATAACAAACCTGATTCATAACAAACATGAGCAAAAAAACCCACCCCAGCAAATTGGGCTGTGTCCTTTCCCTTTGGTTCTTGAATCCAGCAACCCAAAAATCACCCAGAGTCCCCAAAAGTCCAACATACCCCAAAGTCTCTGTCCCTGGTCAGTGCAGCCCCAGAGTAAAAGGGGGCCACACAGAGTGTCAAGGGGCACCTTACATGATCTGAGGCCGGCCGTCTCTCCATGGGGTTCCGCCGCAGCCTTCACTACGAAGCTGCTCCGCTCTGTGACCTGCTCCAGCCGTCCCCACAAACAGCTCTGCTCGCCATTCCTTGGGCTGCTCGCTGCTCCTCCAGTTGTCCCCACAAATTGCTCCGCCAGCTGCTTAGCTTCAGGCTTCCCCACTAGTTAACACAGCACTTAATAACTTTAACTCTTTTGTGATTTCAGCTCAGAGTAGGGGAGCCCCAGTGCTGGTGCACCATTGGCCCACAGTGAATTCAACTCAGCAGCCTGTAACTAGAGTCCTAATAGGATCAAAGTTAGCTTTGACATTCAACAGTGGAGAGAGAAGATAGTGCAATTGGTGTTTCACACCCTCATAGGGCACCCATACCATCAAACACAAATACTTACCCCCATCCTCTCTCAATTCACTGGGTTTTGTAACCCATGCCCCTTGTCAAGCAAGGGGTAATGGTGAAGGACTCACTCAGTCCTTCTGTCATACAACAGTTCCACTGACCTTGATTCACAGAATCAGGGTAACAAAACTTTATTCTTCCTGCCCCAATAACAGAGAAACTGGGGATCCCACACCAGCCAAAGTAACCACTTTGAGTTGCTGTTGTCTCATGCCAGGTGGGTGGGTGTGCCTATGCAAACAAGATCAGCCCCTGGAGTTCTTTTCCACACTCGCCATAATTCACCACCAGATGTCAGGGTAGAGCTCATCCTGACTCTGCTTCCATCTATATGTGTAAATCCAAAATACCATAGTCCGAGAACTGCCTCTTCCTCAACGTTTGGGTGCCCCATCCCCGGCCCCGTGAGCCGGCCGCCATTCTCGTCTGGATCCGTGGCATGGCTTTTGTCTCTGGTTCAGCCTCTCTTGATGTCTATGATGGGCGCTTCTTAGCCGCCACCGAGAATGTGATCGTGGCCTCCATGAACTACCGGCTGGGGGCGCTGGGCTTCCTGTCTCTGCCCCCGGCTGCCCCGGGGAACGCCGGCCTGTGGGACCAGTGCCTGGCGCTGCACTGGCTGCGGGACAACGTGGCTGCTTTCGGTGGGGACCCAGCTCGTTTGATGCTCTTCGGCCAGTGCACCGGCGGTTCCTCAGTCGGCTTCCACCTCCTCTCCCCAGGGAGCCGGCCCCTCTTCACCTGTGCCGCGCTGCAGAGCGGAGCCCCGACAGCACCGTGGGTTTGGAGTTCCCTCGAGGAGGCCCAGGAGAGAGGCCGGAGGCTGGGCCAGCTGCTGGGCTGCACCGATAGCGATGACACGGCCCTGGTGGGCAGCCTGCAGGGGAAGGAACCCGGGGAGTTCCCCAAACACGAGTTCTCCGTCTTGCGCCACAAGAAGCAACTGGGGCTGCCCTTTGTGCCGACACCAGATGGGGATTTTCTCCCTGATACACCACCAAGACTCCTGCAGGCTAAGCAGAGCCAGCTATGCCCGTCCTGACCGGCATCAACGCCAACAAAGGCTCCTACATATTATACTTTGCTGCCTCTAGCCTCAACCTGGAGAATGCCAGCTCCATCGGCTGGGAGCAGCTGCTGCAGGTGGTGAGGCTGATAGTGCCAGAGGCACTGGAAGAGGCCGTCTTGGCCGTGGCACAGCAGTACAGCCAGGAGGGGCAGGGGCAGGGTGAAGCACGGTACCGATGGGCCATGGATCAAATCCTTGGTGACTACTTCATTGTGTGTCCGGTAGCCGAGATGGCTGGGCGAGAGGTAGAGACCGGCAGTCCTGTGTATGCCTACGACTTCGCCCACCGCAGCAGCGGCTTGTCTATGCCCGAATGGACAGGGTTGCCGCACGGCTCTGAGCTGCCCTACCTGTTCGGGACCCTGGCGTCTGTGGAAGGAGCCAACTACACGCACATGGAGGCTGAGGCGGGGCTGAGCCGCAGGGTGATGCGGTACTGGGTGGAGTTCACCAGAAGCGGGTAAGGGAATCCCCCAGAATCCTCTTGTGCCCCTGAGCCAGACCATGAGAGCAGCTGTAAGTCTTTGGCCAGGTGTCCACAACATGCAGGAAGACCTGGCTCAATGCCATGGCGAAGAAAGGTCCCTTTGAAAAATAGATAATCTCTTTGGTTGAAGCCCCGACCTAGAGCTGAGTTTACTTCAGGTAGGTAAAATCAGAGCCCCTTGGTTCCAGGTTAGGGATAATTCCCTTCTTCCCTCACCAGGATGTCGGTGATCCCATGAACATACTCATCCTCATTCAAGGAAACATGTTTTTTAGCTAGTAGCCAATGATCTCAAAGCTCTGCCTGCCCTTGCCCGGCCACACAAACTCAGGGGATGTCTGTGCTACAAACACTGTACAGGCCTGGCTACGTCAGCTCATCATATCAGTACAGCCTGCAGCAGCAAAAGGGGTTGCTCCATCACCTGCCCAAAAATCAGGAGCTACGTTGACAAAAAGCATCTTTCCATCAACATAACTACAGCTACCCTAGGGGTTAGATCAGATCAGCAATGGCAGTCAGGTGTGTGGTTTTTTCACATCTCTGACTGAGATAACTGCGGCACTGTAACTTTTAAGCGTACACCGTGGGATAGATAAGAAGACGTACTCCCTTGCACTAAAAATAAGCAAGCAAAACCTCAAACAAATGTCTTCAACGTTCCCCATTGTAGTCCTAACTATGCCGCTTGGAACCATTGATTCTCAGATTAGGGAAGTGAAGGCAGTTGGGAACATTTAAAAAATAATATCCAATACATGGCAAAAAGGGAAGGTTGATAGTAATGAATATAAATCAGACATTAGGAATTGTAGAAATCTGATAAGGGAAGCAAAGAGACACATGGAGAAATCTATGGCCAGCAGAGTTGGGGACAATAAGGAGTTATTTGAATATATTAGGAACAAAAAGAATCCAGACAATGGGATTGGTCCATTCATTATTAGGTGGAAACGGCAGAATTATCAATAGTAATATAGAAAAGGTAGACGTGTTCAATAAATAATTCTGTTCTGTATTTGGGGAAAAACCAGATGATATAGTCTTATTGCATGGGGATGATAACCCTCTTTCTATTCCACTAGAGTCTTGGGAGGATGTTAAACAGAGGCCACTAAACTTAGACATTTCTAAATCAGCAGGGCCAGATAACTTACACCCAAGTGTTTTAAAAGAGCTGGTGAGGAGCTTGCTGGCCTGTCTACGTTGATTTTCAGTACATCTTGGAGCAGCGGGAAAGTTCCAGAAGATTGGATGATAGCAAATGTTGGGCCCATTTATAAAAAGGGTAAATGGGATGAACTGGGTAAGCATAGGGCTGTAGTAAAATGGCAGCCAACTCAGGGCAGCTTGTGGCAACAATTTCATTGAGCGCAGTGGGAGATGGTGGCCATTTTTGGTTAGGGCAGCATGTGACACCATCCTATTTAAAAGGATACGTGAGAGGAGCCATCTTCAGTGAGGGCAAATGGTGGCTTCAGACTGCTTTCCAGTTTAGACCCTCCTATCTGTGCTCCCATGATCACTAACATGCCGTGTCCTTCTCTGTCACCCTGACCCATATTTTTCAAATCACCACACTGCCCCTTCCTATGTCTGTCAGCCCATGTTCCCTGAAGGAAACCTGGCTTCAGTCCCATTGGAAACAGTGGCCATCTTTCCTAGGGGCAGTCTTTCTTTAGAAAGGGCTGTAGGCCAATGGCAGCCATCATGACTCATGGCAGCCTGTGGCTTCAATGTCATCAAGATCAATGGGAGGTAGCCGCCATCTTTATAAAGGGCAACCTGTAGCGTCACCCCATATAAGGAGAACAAGTGGAAGCAACCATCTTAACTGAGGGCAGCCTCTGGCTTCACTCTCATTGGGAACAATAGGGGATGGCAGCCATTTTGGAAAGGGGCCAAACTTTGCAAATTGGCTCCTAATGACCCCTGCCTACAGGAGACAGACTCTGGCCAGAGCACATTCCTGTCCCTGCCAAGCCCGGGTACCAAGTGTGTGTTCTCCATTGAATTTCTCCCTAGGATCCCCACTGGGGAGGGGAGCAAGAGAGAGCAGTGGCCCCTCTACAACCCCATAAAACAGAACTTCTTCTGCATCGGACTAGAGTCATCTGAGGTTGCGGAGATGCCCCTCAAGCAACGCTGCAGCATCTTGGCATCACTGCTTGCAGAGAAGCTGAGCCCCACAGGTGAGCATCAGTGGGGTGAGAGACAGCAACCCTAGAGTGGAAAGGCCCCATGTCCCCTTCCCTTTGAGCCAGGCAATCCCCCCACCCCTGGGGCTGGATAGGAGCTGGTGGTACCACTAGGACCCTGGAACACATTCCCATCTCCATGGGATTTTCTGGCCTCCTAGAGATGCCCCATTCTCCTGCCTGGGGTAGATCTCGCATCCCCTGGGAACCCATCTGCTGTGGGAAGCCACAGGTTCTGACCCATCTTCACTTGCTCGGCCCCTCCGGGAGGACAATGTCACCCGTGTTTCCTGTATCAGCCCAACCCCATGTGTCCCCGTTCCAGGGGAGAAGGCTTGAGCTCAGAGGGGGATTCCAGCAGGGTGAGTGGGGGTGGAGGGATGGATCCAATGACAGAGGGGGCTGAGGGCAGGTGGACCGTAATGGCATGGAAGAGAAAGGCAGCAATGAAGCAGAGAAACACAGCTGGCTCTGGGGAGGGGTGTGGCCGCTGTGTAACTGTGTAGCACAGGGAGTGAAGGAGAATCCAATATCCACTGGGACTCCTGTGTGCCAGGGGCCTCTTCTGGGAGGCAGAACAGACCCTTGCACATTGGACACCGGGGTTCACAGTTGCTGGGAGACACGGGAACTCCACAGCATCCCCCAGTGCTACAATGTAGCACTGGGGGGGGAGCACTGACTGTGTGGGGACAGCCCCCTTCTGAGCGCCCCATGCCACTCTCTGCAGCAAAGCGCTCCTAGGGCAGGGGGATTAGCACTGACTGTAGGGGGTGAGTGTCCCATACAGCACACCTCTCCCCTCCCATTTGCAAGTAGACCAAACCCTGCATAGTCTGAGCTCATCCCCGCGGCTGTTAACCCCACTCGCTGTGTGTCCTGCAGGAGCAGACCCAGGACGTGCCCAGCCCGGGGGGCTGTGAATTCAGAGCTGAGCAATTACAATCCCCTGACGGGGGGAACCCTCCCTGCAGACAAGAGCATCTAGTTCCTGTTAGCGCCTGTTGATTCATTAACGAGGATCCTGCTAATAACCCACCTGGGAAGCCACGGATTGACCCTCCCTCTGCAACTCCTCCACCTCCAGTGCATTAAAGCATATTCAGGGGATGGATCACTTGATGATTCCCTGTTCTGTTCATTCCCACTGGGGCACCTGGCACTGGCCACTGTCGGAAGACAGGACACTGGGCTAGATGGACCTTTGGTCTGACCCAGTGTGGCCGTTCTTCTGTTCTTATGTTTAATCTGGAGACAGAACCTGGTGTGTGAGGTTGATTAGCTGCTCCTGAGCAGGGAGGACAGTGTGTGTGTGTGTAAGAGCTCTGTGTGTGCTTTGTGAGAGTGCTTTGTATATATATGCAGGGGCGGAAGTTGTGAAGCTTTGTGCTGGGGAACTCACCCACTAGACTCTATCCCTGGGACCTGAGGCAGAGATCCCCTCCCATCCCCCCATCCTGGGAATTAACAGGGTCCTGTGCAATGCAGGTGCTGTTAACGTGTGGTACTCCTTGCTGCAAGATATTGCCCTTAAGGCTCATGCTCCTGCCCTCTCACACACGCTGTGGCTGATTCATGCTTTCCACCCAGCTCCCCTCTGCCACTAATTCTCTCCCCCACCGCACTCCCAGGTGAGCCCCCAGTCCCACTCTGTGCCCTTGGTTGGCCTGGCCTGCTCCCAGCTGTTCCTGGCTTTGCTGAGGGTAGTGCTGCTGAATGGGATGTACTGAGGCTGAGGGAGGGCATCTGGAATGTACTTGCCCCAGGCAAGGGGATGGGAGAGTTCTGGGGTATTATCCTCTCCAGGGCACTGCTGACCCCAATGGCACCAGGGGGCGCTGTGCTGCAGGGAGTGGGGTGGGAGGCTCAGTAGGGGGCACTCTCCCATTGCAGTCAGTACTGACCCCAATGGCACCAGAGGGCGCTGTGCTGCAGGGACTCAGTAGGGGGCGCTCTCCCCTTGCAGTTAGTACTGACCCCAATGCCACCAGGGGGCGCTAGGATGCAGGGAGCGCTACAGTAAACATCACCAAGAAGCAATGGCCAGATTCAAGCCCCCTGAGGGCCTTTATTCAGCACAGAGAGGCGAGGAGTTGATGGGTGGACTGATCCCCTCCCCTCTTAGGGTGGGGAGACCTGAACCTCCTTCTTGTGGGGGTCGTACCACACCAGCAGGATCGGGTGGGTGTTTCCCATCCTGAACTCCACCCAGCACCCATCGCTCTGCAAGATGAGCCTGCCGCCCCGCCACATCCCGACATGCTGACGGCTCTTCAGCAGCTCCATGGCCCGGCTGAAGCAGGCAGCCAGCCCCTCCGTCACCAGCCCCTTCTCCTCCAGCTGGTTCTTCTTCCTCAGCACATCGGTCTGGCTCAGGCCTTCACTGCATTCAACCACGTCTTCCATGGGGCGCTCTCCCTGGGGGCTGCGGCGTCTCGGGCGGGGGCCGTGCGTCCTCTGCTGAGTTCGGCTCTGGTGATCAATTTGCTCCCAGGTTCTGGGGCCAGATCAGCTGTTCGATCCCCTCCCCCTAGGTGACAAGGTGGAAAATATATGGGTTTTGGCTCCCATAGGCTCATCTAGCCCGGTATCCTGCCTCCCAAATCATACCCATTAGCCCATCTAGCCCGGTATTCCCCCACCTCCTTTTTGCCCCGATCAGAACCAGGGGGACATCCACCCCCACCCCCCTCACACCACCCTGATATCCTCCCCCATCACCATCCTGGGTCAGACCCTTAGGCCCATCTAGCCCGGTATCCCGCCTCCCTAGATCAGACCAATTGACCCATCTAGCAACCAATGGAAAGCCAAGCTCCCAACAGAGCCGATGCCTGCTAGCCAGAGGGTGATGCTAGACATGCAGGGCCAGTTTGCTGCCTTGTGTACATTGCCGCCTCCCTCTGCAGCCTCAGGGGCGGGCCACTCGCAGGTTTAAACCCGTGTCAGTGGTGGATTCTCTGCCACTTGAAGCCTGTCAGTCATGATTTGAGGATGCCAGGAACTGAGCCAAAGATTAGGGTCTATCACAGGAGTGGGTGGGGGAGGTTCTGTGGCCTGCAACGGGCAGGAGGTCAGACTAGATGATCAGGACCCAGGCTGTGGCCCTGCCCCTGCTCCACGCTTGGGCCTGCGTCCTGGAGGTTGGGCCGGTGCTCAGGCTGGCCTGTAGCCCGGGGGTCAGAGCGGCTGGGGCCTCAGGTGGAAGGGACAGGGACAGGGCCTAGCCTCCCCAAAATGGGGGTTCACATGCCACCCATGCCTTCTGACCTTAAAGTCTATGAGTCCAAGGTCAGTGGATCCGGGGCAATTTACTCCCATGGGGGATCTGTCCCGTAGCCTTTATGCGGTCGGTGATAGAGAAATTGAGAGGAGTCAGGCGGGAGGCAGCTGAAGAGGTGCAAAGTCAGATGATGCGTCCCATTCCCCCAACAGCTCTGGTTCCTCTGTGACGCTCAGCTGGGCTCCTTGCCCGTGGATGCCAGCTCCGTCCTCCCCCCATACCCTAGTCCAGTCTCCCCAAGGCTGGGACGCCAGCTTATCTGCCTCACGTACACAGCTCCCAGCTACTATTAACTTTCAGCTCCCAAGGACTTTGTCCTTGGCTCCGGCGCAAGCAGGATGGAGCAACACCCCCTCCACACACACACACACACACACACAGATCTTTAGTATCGGAGGGGTAGCCGTGTTAGTCTGGATCTGTAAAAAGCAACAGAGGGTCCTGTGGCACCTTTAAGACTAACCAATATATCTGTTAGTCTTGAAGGTGCCACAGGACCCTCTGTTGCTTTACACAGGTCTGTGTCGCTTTCCCTTGAAACTGTCAACTGAGCATGAGAAACTGCGTTT